AAACTATTCTTAAAAAGAGCTTAGTACTGAATTTAAGCGGTCCAATAGCCGTCTCTTATAAAAGAGGATCAGAGGACCGTTCAAATGACCCCCTACTACCCTTTATGGTATGAACCTCAATCTGCTTCACTGGTGTCTTTACATAGCTGGTCATGTTTTAATAGATTACGGACTATGAATTAAAGAAGTTTCAAGCCTAAAAGGTTGACTGGCCGACTTATCCTAACACAACTAATCGCCTTGGCGGCCCTTCCCCTTACTCCTCCCCCACATGAGGGTTTGCAGTGTCCGATCGCCTCAGGTACTCGTGCGGCCACCAGATCTGTTCCTATGTTGAAAATCTTCCTAAACATCTCCTCGAACATCTAGGTATGAATAGGTAACCGATCGAAGTAAGCAGAATCGCTTAATGACCGGGTAGAAAAGGGGCATTGTTTTGACGCAGAACAGCACGGGCACGGGACTTGGCGATCTCGCTTCAGACGCTTCGGTCCCTGCGTCATTGTGCTGTAAGCTTTAACAAAATCCAACTCCAAACAATGTCCGACCCACCAACATCAACAGCCTCAACCTCCCTCCTCCCTGTCGATGCACTGTTCAACAATCCGCTCTTCGCCGGAGGCGTCGGTCTGGCAGGTCTCACAGCCGCTGCCGCCGTAGCCCGCAAAGGGGTGATCCGGGGCGCAGGCCTGGTGCGCCGACGTCTCCTCAGCAGAGTCGAGATCAGCAAGAATGATCCATCCTACAAATGGGTTCTGGCATGGCTTTCTCTCCCTCGCCCGCAGACGGGCTTCATTTCCTCGCGGATCACCCGCCTCAACGACTTCTCTATGGCGACGACGACGAGGGGGGACAAGGCGAACGACGCGAGCTTCTTCCTTCAGCCGGGCTACGGCAAATATATTATCAGGCACGAGAACGCGTACATAGGTGTCAATCGCGAGAAGCAGGCTTCGTCCAACATGCACACGGGAGAGCCGCACGAAATAGTGACGCTCACGGCGCTCTATGCGCAGAGGCATATCTTCGAGAGCTTATTTCGAGAGGCGCATCATCTGGCATTGTCGGCACAGGAGGGAAAGACTGTGATGTATACCGCGCAAATCGCCGACTGGAAACCTTTTGGCGAAGCGCGGAAAAAACGGCCTTTGCACTCGGTGGTCTTGGACGAAGGGATCAAGGAGCGGATCGTGGACGACGTCAAGGACTTTCTGACGCGACAGAGCTGGTATGTGGAGCGAGGGATACCGTATAGGAGAGGATACCTGTTATATGGTCCGCCAGGCAGTGGCAAGAGTTCATTCATCCAAGGATTGGCCGGCGAGTTGGATTTTGGCATCGCGCTCATTAATCTGAGCCAGAGGGGAATGACGGATGATAGATTGTCACAAATGATGACTGTACTGCCACCAAGAACCATACTCCTGCTGGAAGATGCAGATGCGGCCTTCAGCAATCGGCAACAGGCGACCGAGGACGGCTACAGTGGTATGACCGTCACATTTTCAGGCTTACTTAACGCCTTGGACGGAGTTGCGGCCGGTGAAGAGAGGGTGACATTTCTGACGACGAATCATATCGATCGCTTGGACGAAGCCTTGATCCGGCCTGGAAGAGTGGACATGACTGTTAGGATAGGAGAAGCCACGAGATATCAGGCGGGGGAAATGTGGGAACGCTTCTACGGAGACGTAGACGAGGGCGGAAAGGGGAAACTCCGGTTCTTGCAGAGGCTGGAAGAACTCGGCCTTGTGACGGACGCTGGCGGGCAGACAAAGCCGAGGTTCCAGACAAGCACTGCTGCCATTCAAGGCCTGTTCTTGTTCAACAAGGATAGTATGGATGGAGCCATTGGGATGGCTGAGGGACTGATTCCACGAATCTACGAGTCTGAGCAGCACGTCGCTGGAATCAAAGTGCCTGCTTGAATCGGTAGGATATCTTTGTTGAGAGCTACAGCGTAGGCTACTCTCCTTGTTGGCGAATTGTGTAAGTGTCATATTGCACAAAATAACTCGTTGATTTAGAATGTAGGATACGTTGATGTTCAATACCCATGTGTGCGTGGATAGCAAATCATCAAAATAACAAAAAGAAAAGAAAGAAAAGACGATGCCAATACTGCCTTAAATCTCGTTTACTCTGCCAGTCAGTCTTGATCCGAGTCCTTAGAATGGCAAGGTGCTGGTCATTCATTGCCTCCCCTTACCGATTTCCAGTTCCAATCCTCTGCCACTTGCAGAGTAAGTCGCAGGAAATATCCAATTCATTTCGCTCTTGGGGACGACTTGATTCGTTGATTGTGAATCGGAATGGGATTGTTCCCTGGAAGGTCACTCACTCACTAACCAACCTACCAATGAACTATCCTAGAGTGTACAATAGGATACGATAGATAGATACGTATACGGTTGTGATATTCGTGGTATATTATACGTCGCTGCTGCTGCGTTACCATATAGGTATATTCTAACGATCAAACGTCGCTTGCTTGCCGTGTCGATCGCTGGTGAGTATTTATTTGTTTTTGGGGGGTGCGTGTCGCCGTTCTCCGTTACGCGTTTGAGCAGGTAGGTATATAGGTAATCAAGCAAGCACCATCCATAGCCATGCTAGGATAATATGATTTGTAGGGCTCTTGAAGTTTTGTGTTTATTTTCATCTTTGATATGATAGGTGGTACAGCCTAAACAAGAAACCATTCGGTTCAGTCCTCCTGGAGGCTGAGGAAGGCTGGCGTTCATGGGCGAAGTCATACCTGATAGTCTTACGGTGCTGAATGGGCGCCGCAACACCGGGAATGGGGTTCTGATAACACACACGAGTAGCAGTTGTTTTCCTGTACTGGGAGCGTACAGAACCGGGAAAGATAGCTGCAGAATATCGAGGTAGCTATGCCATGCCGTTACTACCAGAATTCTTTTCTTCTTTCATTTCGTCGTAACATCTCTCTCCCGATTTCCATTGTAGTGGTTCTTTGGATCATGGCTGTTTTGATGCATCTCTCATAGAGTCACTGTTTGTTTGTTCAGTACTGCCCTCCAATCACCACACTCGAGATCCTGCTCCGCGTAGGCATGATCCCAAAGGTCTTCCAGAACTCCCTCGTATCATAGCACCTGCCCAACGTCTCCATGTCTCGAGGTAGGGCCCTCACATTCTCTTCTTCCATCAACTCGCCAATCCACTGGATCTGCTTCTTGGCTCTCTCGTCATTGCCATTTTGGGCGTCCAGCTCACCCGCAAAGCCCAGGACCAAGGACCACCAGTCATAGACTTGAAGATCCGTCAACATCTACACACATACATGTCCGTCAGTAATCCACACCGCACATTTGCACTTATGAAGAAAGAAGTCCCAAAGGATGCTCAAATAACGTACCCATCTCTCCCCCGCGGCCTTGCCAAAGTCCCGATGCACAGCCACAATCGCCCTCGCGACATCGACTCCATGCACCATATGCAGACTGCCCTTCCCCTTCAACACCTCCTTCGTCGGCGCCACGCGGTCAATCCAGTGGATCGCGTTCCGCTCGCCCCCCCACAGACCCGCCAGGTCCAGCACCGAGCCCCCCCGCCGCAGCAGCTCGTCCTCCGCCTGGCCCCGCGCATCCGCAGCGTCGTACCGGCTCCGCCGTGTCACCCACCGCTCCTGCCCAGGCACCGTCCAGATGCCCGTACTGCCCAGCTGCACGAAGTTGACGCTGACATGGCTGTGGCTGTGCACGTACGCGTCCACGAGGGCCGCCGTCTGCGCGGCGCCCCGGAGCGGGAACGTGATGAGCACCGTCTTTGCGGTGGGCAGGGCGCGGTACTGTGCGCCGTCACCACCCTCGTCGTCGTCGTCCCGGTCCGGGGACGAAGAGGGGGGAAACGTAAACTTGAACCGGTAGGTCCCGTCGCGGCCGGTGGTGGTGGTGGCGGCGTGGCTGATCTTCTGCGCGGCGAGGAGCGGGATCAGGAAGGTGGATGTCCAGCCCGCGCCGAGAATCAGGATTTCAACTTGGGATGGTGATGGGCTTGAGGTTACGCTTGCGCTTGCGCTCGCGGGGTTGGGTTGGGCCTGTGTAGAAGATATTGAATACTTTTGAAAGAGAACTTTTTGTATAGAGAGATAGAGAGAGCGGGGGGGTTGTCTTTTGCTTTACGTACGGTCATGATGAGTGTCATTGGTCAGTCAGGGACTTTTCAATTTGAGAATTGAGGATGATATTTTGAGGATGGTGAGGTGAGGTTGAACGATTGAACCGGAACCCGTGATGACGTTTGTCAAAATGTGTGTGTTTGTACGTGTTGATCACGTGGTGTATCATTCCTTTGGACTATAGATATGCGTTCGTTATGTGTATATTGCTCTACACACAGTCAACATCATAATTGAAGGTGCTTTCGGGTAGGAATAGCCAGCAGCGCAATCACAACCACAGCGACTATCGAGCGTCGCCAAGGGACTTTGCAACGGCATACAGTAGAGACTCGTTATGGCACAATCAGGAAATACATACGTACTAGTATGTATTATCCATTCATTTATCTATTTATTTCAATCTATTATCTCCCTCTCGATCCACTCAGCAGACACGATTTCGAAGCTCAGAGGTAAAAATATACATCCAGCGAGCTCAACTCTAGAAACGTGCAGTTCATCTCAGCCGCGAAGCGAACCAAAACAAACTTTCGGCTTGCCCCCACCTCTCTGCAACCCAACACCAAGAGGTCCCGACCGACTCACTTCACCACCGTCCGTTGAGGATAGTGCGGTGGCGCACCGTGGCCCATATCCACATCATCATACTGCGGCGGCGCCTGGGGCTGGCTACCCATGCGCATCATTCCCACATCGCTCTCGGTCTTCCACAGGGGCGGAGCGCCTCCTTTGCGCTTGAAGACGCACATCAGAACGTACGCGAGCCCGACGACGCCGGCGACGACGCTATAGGCAATGACTCCGTTCGGGGAGTTGCGCGCGAGCTTGAGGCCCAGCCCGCCGTTGATGACGCCCAGCAGGATGATGACCCGGCCGTACCAGATGTGCAGGTGGGAGACGGGGGCGCGGGCCTGGTTGCGCTTGTACTGCATGTGGTGGATGATGCCGAAGATGGGCTGGATGAGGAAGAGGACGACGATGACGACGCCGAAGATGGTGTGCGTGCTGCTGAGATTCTGGAGGCGAGGGTAGAGATGTTAGCGAGATGATCGTGGTAGGAGATGAGAGGAGAGGAGAGGGCAGGAGAAGGGCAAGAAACTGCATGAGGGCATGCATGAAGTGGAGGGCTGTGTCAGGAGGACTACCTCGATTCCCAATCTCCCCGCTCTGGATGCGCCAGCAGCTCCCCCGAGCGTACTGCTGCTCGCCCCATTCCCGCTGCTCCCAGTGCTGCTCCCTCCGCTGCCACTACCCCCAGCGCCTCCGCTGCCATTCCCAAAACCCGGGATGGAAGAAGGATCGAAGCCAGGAGGAGGAGACCACTGTCTCTTGGAGAAAGGAGAACCTACTACGTGTGTCATATCCGCCAGCTTAACGCCCAGTCCCAATCCCACGATCAACGCACACAAGTTCAACATCTGCAGGATCGCATGCACCATCCCGTTACCACCCATGCGGATAAACATGGCCGCGAACGGGAACAGTAGGACCATCACGACGCCCATGATGATGCCGTGTGCTTTCTGGTAGTCGGCGACGGCGCCGAAGTTCGAGTTCCCGAAGCTTACGCCTCCCGAGTTACTATTCGAGCTGTCAGCATGGTTCATTTTTCTTCCCGTCGACAGCGTTGGTGCGCCAATTCAGAGGTGGGCGGGGGAGAGTCCAAGAGGGCTGTCCATACCCAGTTCCCGTGGTAGAGCCCCCGGAAGTGCCAGATGAGCCCCCTGCTGCGCTCGAGATGAAGGGGTTGGAGTCCGAAGCAATAGTAGCCTGCCCAGCCAGATCCAACTGCACCTGGGCGGTACTTGAACCTCCGTGCTGATTGATGTTCGCAGAGGTCGATGTGCTGTCCAGGGCGGAACCCATACTCCATGCCGCGATCCAAGGAGAGGAGGAGGAGGAGGCATCCGAGTCGAGGGTACATGTTGTGCCTGTCCGGAGCCATCAGCATGATCTTCGGGAATATGTATGTATCCTGTTTATATATTCCCCAGCCAGCTCCACCGCGTCCATCACACCGGGAGGGGGGGATCATCATCCATGAGCAAGCAATAAACCACTCCACCTACACTTCACATTGGCCACCATGTTCCCGTCCACGATGCCACTACCCTCCAGCAGCGTCAGGCCGCCCTGGATGGTACTGTCCATCTTCGGCTGCGAGTGGCCGCTCGATTTCCGCCCACTGATAGTCACGTTTCCGGCCCCGTCGGCATACATGACGAACATGGTCGAGCCCGCCATCTGCGCGCCGGTGCCCAGTGCGACCCATTGGTATGTGGTGGGCGCGGACAGGCGGACGTAGAGGGGTCCGGTAGAAGAAGCGGAGATGGAGGAGCCGGAGGGGATGGCCACGCCGTAGGAGGGGCCGGGGGAGAAGGTGATCTGGGCGGTCGAGAGGGAGGCTGTTGATTGTGTCGGTCAGCTTTTAATGGTCTTGGAGGAGGAGATTATAGTGATAATCTGGATGATATAGATGATTTCGATAGTAAAGGTAGTATAGGTGATATATATCGGCAGACATCAACAACCAGCAGAGGAGTGGAGTAAACAAAGGCATACCCAACCCAGCAACCGTCCACCCCAGCGTTGATTGTAAGCTTGTCGGCTTCATGATAATTATGTTTAGGTAGTGTTGTGGTTGTTATTGTTGTCGCTTCCAGCCCTTATATCCAAGCTGCAGAGGACAAATAAGGTAGCAAGTCCAACTCGATCAAGGGGAGGGGAAAGAGCAGATTTCTTTATCTATATCGATACCAGTACCGAGTCCGTATATCCATATCTACCTATCTGTCTATATCTATATCGATATCCATCAACAAAGAAAAGACCCGGGCCCCCTGCCCTGCCCTGCCCTGCCCTGCCACAGAGCCGAATCAATTTCTGTCTCACTTGCTCTGACCTGCGTACGTAGTTCTGAACACGGCCCTCCCCGGGCCTGTCCTTCCTTGATGCTGGCTCATCATCGGACGCCGCAACTCGAGTCTCGACGATATATGTTCTGCCAACTGCAGCATTCGGCATTTCAGCCCGTGCCACGTACAGGCTGAGCCGAATTCATGAATGAATCAACGAATTGAAACCATCAGTTCCGTCCGTCCGTGACACACGTAAAACCGTGTACTTGCACCCTGCATATTCCATCCCGCAGTCCGGACTTGGGCACTGGGGAAAAGTGACGACGTGCCCGGTTTTTTCAAATATTAATCACTGCGAGAGCTTCATGTATCAGTCGGTATTGGTACGGATTTCCTGATGCTGATGCTGATGCAGATGCAGATGCAGATGCAGACGCCGATACAGATAGCAGGTCTGACCGGACCAGTCCAGACTAGACTAAACTGAACTGGACTGCGAGATATGCGTGCGTGATAGGCGTTTAATTATAAGTCTCTGATCGCGTTGTGATCCGGAAAGCCAAGGGAAGGATTGAGGAAGTATATTTTCAAGTACAAGTAACCGTCGATGATCTGGCTGATGTGTTTATATCGGGCATTCTAGATGGACAGCAGTTGGCCGGATATAGATCGATAGACGGATGGATCCAGAGAAATAAATGTCCATGTCGCTGAGATAAGCTTACGCTACCTACTGGCTAAAAATAAATAAAGCTTGGATCTACAGCGGGGCAGGCAAGGAGAACAGGCATCTCGAGGATCTTTAACATCAATCATCAATCAACAATATAAGGAATGATATTAACTTGATAGATATAATATCGCTTTGCAGATCCAACGATGAAAAACAACAAGAGACAAACGGTCGATTCATTATCAAGATCCACTTCCGGATCCAAAGCTGCCGGCCTAACACACATCTACAACTAGCTTGCTTCTGATTGCCGAGGTCTCAATCTTTGGATAAGCTTCTTCTCTCTCCTCTATGCATCTCCATTCTGTCTCAACAGAGAGCCAACGCACTTCATATCATTATATATACGCGATTTAAAGCCAAACACCATTGATTACAAAATAACCCGCTCATCTTTATTGACGAAAGCCTAGCCCCTAAGCATCGAAAATTATCCGATTCGCTTAGCTAGCTGCTGATCAGCTAACCGAGATCCGGGACTCTGTATGTACATCTCGGTGGTCGGCATCAGCTGGGGACATGAAATCCTCATGCTGACATGACATTCCGCAGATAGGTGGGTAAGTAAACAATTAAGTAAATAAACAAAATGAACAACCAAGCAAAAGTAAAGAGACAAGTGCCGGCGGCACAATACCGGAGATCCCCAAGCGAGCGGGCGAGCCCAGCCCAGACCAGCCCAGCCCAGCCCAGCCAGCCAGCCAGCCGAAACGAGACGAAACCAAACCAAACCAAAACCAAAACCAAAACGAAAACATCAACAATACAACACCAGACGAACGGACGCGCAATCGAAACGAAACCCCCAAACCCGAAAAGAAGATTTGGAAGGGGGAAAAAGCCTCCAATGACGTACCCACGTGCCTGCGCATCGCAGATGCCCGACCTAGCTTAACCAGTGTCGAGATTCGGCCCCATCGGCCACTAACCATCCAGCCGCCTACCAGTGCTCACGGACATGCGATAGACCGACCGATCAATGGTGTTAAGGAAAAGAAAAAGTGCAGGCATCAATGAGGAAGACAGGAATTGTGGTTGGTTTGCAGCACGGAGAGATGGCCGACTGCTGACGAGTCCCCCCCAGCCCCCCTTCCCTTTCCCTTTTTTTCATACGTCTATCGTATCTTATCGGCTGAGGTGAGAGATGAATGGATGGATCTGTTTGGCTTTGAGGGATTGAGTAAGAAAATGGTCTCTATCGCAAGTAAGCAAGTAAGTAAGCAAGAAATACCGCCGGTCGAGATGGGAAATATCTACGGAAAATACAATCTCGACTCCTAAGAGATGTCATCTACCAAAAGCTATCTACGGTCTTTTATCGAAACTTGGCTTTTCTCTGATTTCATCGGGCTAGGGTGTAGGTGTAGTTCAAATGAGTGAGATGGGTGGATGGAGAGGCTGGTGTAATCCATTTTATTTTATTTTGAACTCAATGGAGGACGATGGATGTGGATGGAGTGTAGAGGGGTTATTCTACCTGCGAAAGGAGGAGGAGAGAAGGGCAGAGGCTTTGGGCTTGAAAAGAGTATTTGAAAGTATACTCGACTCGGTATGTAGTCGATGGTTTACATGATAATTGACGCGATCGTCGATGAAGGAGGAGGGTTGGGTATATTGTGATGGAGGGAGGGGGGCCGAATAATAGAGACAGACAGACAGAGACAGAGAGCAGTTCTCGGCGGAAGAAGATCCATCTGGCGGCGCAGCTCTGTGGCCGATATGGCTGGCCGGGCTTGATAACGAGTGGTCGAGCTGTCAGCTGAAGAGATAATGGCGCTCGCTCTCTTCTCTTGGTGCATCATTTTCCGTTCTGGCTACTTACTGGACGCCACCATGACGGTTTGTAGAACAGATCAAGCCCATCTGGCTGTATCGCGGTCGTATCCCGGTTGTAGGATTTGACTGTCCTTAAAAGTAACTAGCTGCTCGCACGCGTAGTTCACTGATGATCAGTTTCTCGGTTATGAATATCAACAAAGCGCAGCACACACAGGTCATAAAACCGACAGGAGAAGCCAGCACTGACGACGAGGTAAAAAAAAAAATTCTTTTTTTTAAAAATTTTTTTGAATACAAGCAACGTGTCCAACTCTCCCGACGCTAGTAGACTTGAACTCAGGGATCAAATTGTTGGACAGGATAGCCGGGGATGTGTGATTCTTGCCTTCGTTGGCCGCTATGTTCCCCCCGGCACGCGCGACTTGGTGCCGCAAACGATAATCGCCGGGACGACGACACTGTGATCCAAGCCGACGCGCCACCGAGGAAGCCAAGAAAGCCGTTCCCTCGGCGTGCTCCACCCGACGTCGAAGCAGCAGCGGACGTTGACCGCCGCGCCGCGAGCCTGGTTGCCACACCGGTTCCTCCGCCGTTAGGAGTTGGGAGTTGGGCGCGGGGCTCGGAAGACTGGAGGGCTTCAGATGCTTGACGTGCGGGTGTTCTCCTCGGCAGTCGGTGGGGATCCGGATGATAGGCGGTATGTGACGAAGAAGAGTGGCGTGGTGGTGGAGGCGGGCTGGCTGTGGAGGACGTGGAGATGTGCGCGTGGAAAGTGATGGCCGATCTCTAGGGCCATGGAGGATTATTGATGTTAGAGGTAAGACATGATGGCGAGGTCCGTAGAGCGTTGGGGGCGAAGAGGCAAGAAGTGACTTTTTGGCCGACTGGAAACTCAAGCGATAGTGTAGTTCGAGAGAACCGAAGAGGAAGTAAAGGTTGGGTACATGGTATGTTCCCAGAAAGGTTTATTATAATAACAAATGCCAGATGATAAGTGCTAGGCAGATCCTTTTACGCGGCTGTCCTAGGAAGCGCTTTCGGCCCTACAGCAAACTAGAACCTTCTCCACTCACCAGGAACTGTTCAAAGTCACAGTCCTTAGTACTTTCCGTCATAGTCTTCTTGATTGTACAGCTGTTCGCTATAGTCATCTGTTTCGCCACAAGACTTCCGCCCCTATTATAAAGATACCTACCACTATCATTCGCTCTCCGCAGCGAGTCGCACTTCTACCGGGTTAAGCAGTCGGCATGTGAACGGCCGCATTCGGTCCCAAATTTCAAACGAACAGGTTCGAAGCTCCAGATTTCCACAAGTGATTAGTGTCACACGTATCCCACACCGTCGTCTCGTATGCAGCTTCCCAGCATCCGGCAACTCAGCTGGCAGGCTGAGAGAAGGAATCGAGGTGCCACACGATGAAAAGTGGCAGCTCGTCAAGATTTCAGCAAGACATGGCTTATCAAGGAACTTGGCACACCCGCTACTTCGTCTCCCAATACCCGCGAGGCGTTGATAAAGAAGACCAATCTGGACGCGTTCGTTCCTCGTCGAGTTGCTGACTGTCAAGCGAAACAAGCTCAACTAAAGGTCAGGAAACCTTGTGCTAAGAAATCGACTGTACGCACTGGCGGGAATAGTTGAGCTTTCTTATGAGTTGTTGGTGTAGGGCTTTCATACACATCTTCCATCAAAGTGAGTTGTCCGTGATGAACTTTGAGTCTCACCTTATACACCAGTAACACGATGGTAGGAGCCTTTGGTAGGATGCTTGAAGTATACGGAGTATGGCGGCTCTCTAGCAGTCGGAGAAGTCTTCCTGGTCGCTAGTGCCGCCGTGCAAAAAAACTTCAGAAGTATTCTCGTCCACGTTAGAGTAGCGATCGGCAGACAGCATGATGCCTGGCTTGACAGCAGGTCTCAGCCGCTCGATGGCCATTGTCAAGCATGGCAAACGAAGCCCAGGTTATGAAGACAAAATCCGGCTGAGATTGCAAGTCATGTGTGTAAGGGACTTGTACTGGACTTCTTGTCAGGGGTGAGGACTCGCGAGTCGCGACGCTTCTTGTGATGAAGCAAATGGGTAATTTCAAACAACATTTCAAGACCCAAAGAGTCATGAAGGCTACTTAGAGAAGCAAGAAAGCGGTTGGTCGTATTCCGAGGGCAGTGTGACCCCAATCTCAAGTCGCTACTGTAATATCATACCAGTCGTACACACTCTCTCGAGTATCTCAGGTCTCGACCTAGTACTCGAGAGATGCAAATTCAGCCGAGAGATGACTTATATTTTGATCGCCAGGTTGTAAGCACGCGTGATTAGGCCCCCGTGCCCATCTCTTGCACTACCACAGCACAAAACCGTAGCGCAGAGTCACATAACACAGGTACAGTAATTTCAGGCACATCAAAAAAGGAACGAGCCTCGACTATGTGTGATAATTTTATCGTTTGTCTTCAGGCCAGGGCTGCAACCTATAGCAACCCAAGAGCTTCTCAAAGCCCGGCAGGTCTAGCCAACTCACAAATTCAATCCAGTGAATTTCACTTGGATATATGAGCGCTGAAAGATCGCACCTTGACGTCCAAGGAAGAGTGAATGTTGCAGCCTGTGAAATGCAAATCCAGCATAGTGAGGAATTGGGAATAGCTAGCAAGATGAAAATGATACACACGGATGAGGCTAGTGGAAGGTATCTTTGCCACGCATACAAAAGCAACAGCACACGGGAGTGAGAAGATACCTCGGTAGCCGCGTATAATTGATAACAACAGCCAAGAGCAGACAGAATGAAGGGCAAACGCGACCAGGTGAAGCCAGATATAATTTTGGAAAAAAGCACATTGCCAGCAGCAACGAAGAAAATGGAAAGTGGAGGTATCTCCGTGATCTCATAGATCCACCTACTAAGATACTACTGCCAAGCTCGCAGAAGGAAAAGTCTATCTGGAGAAACAATGCAGATCTCGCTCAGATCGCACGCTCCCCCCCAAAAATTTGAAACAAACAAGAGAAGCCTTCAACAGACATTCTGGAAAAGCCTGAGTTCCGGCCTAGTAGGGGCCTATTCCTCGGCAGAAATAGTACCTAGTAGCTCTATTTTCACATTCCGCACCCTTTAAACCTCACTCTATGCCGGTCTTCCACTAACGGGTGGGAGCGGAGCGGATGTCTCGGGGATTTACTACGTAGTCGCTGGACTTGATGTCATCCCACGACCCAGCCTCGTATTCCGCCTCGCACAGGCACCTATCTTCGAACCTTCGGGCTTCGCAAACTCCGTATTGGCGATGCTTCGTACGTAGGTATGAGATTTTAGGTCTGGCTTGTGTCATTGCACGATGCGGAAGCATCATGATCGACGGGCTGGCCGAACGTTACGTCTCCGACAGAGAGCGCTGGTCTTTCATATTCGTAGTACTACTACTACTATATTGTACGCAGTACTGAGCGTTTGGTAGATCCGATTTGAAAGATATATCGCGTGGAGTGCGGAAACGTAACGCGTGGGGCAAATGCTCGAGAAACAGCTGGTTGCCTCGCACGTAGAGGCTACTATTAAAAGTACCAGTACGTAGTATTACTACGTATATCGCGGAAGTCCGGAAACCTTACCCCGTAGCTTTGCGAAGTGCCGTCCGTAAGTTTTGGGTTGCAGCCGGGCTGTAGCGTTACATTTTCTTTACATTCCTTTCAAAGCGTATTTTTTATGGAATATGAATGTACCGTTCATGTTACTGTAAAGGCCTCGGAAGTCAGCTTTACACGTTGTACTACGGCCGTTGCGAAGCGAGGTCCCCGGCCCCGGGGCTTGCGGAGGGCCGCCAAGGAATAGACCTTATGAAGATGGAGATGACTTCCAAGCAATCGATCAATGCTGAGGATCTCTTAGCTCTAGAAGATGCGCTTCTCATGGGGTAGAGTTACCCACGGCACTTGGCACAAGCAGATGCTTATTCCAACGGAGGTGGTAAATACTTAACGGTGATCTGCGTCTATGGGCCCAATGCTTCGCAACAGGAAGAGAGCTGAAGAAATTTTCGAGCGATGTCATCGATTGGGAAAGAATTTGGCATATTCAAGCACATGGGGGGTTCAGTTGAATGGTCCTTTGACCTTTTTTAATTTTAAGAAGATGGTCTTTGGATCATTTAGATTCAGGAATAGTTCATTTTCAAGACTGTCCTTGAGCAAGAGACCGTCCCCTGACTATCTTACAGCCGTCCCCGTCTAATTGTTTACTAGTTGTATCTGCTGCTGCTTCAGCAACGGAACACAATTCTATCCTTGGATTTCTCACCTCGTTTATCGGACAGACACCAGTCACAAGAGGATTTCCTGGAACCGTCTTATGTAAAAGTTAATTGTAAGTTGGTGGTGACTGGGGTATACCGGAGGTACCTTGAATCTATTAATGGGTGGCTTTAACTAAACCCCCCTAGTTACTAGTAGCACAATCAGAAGGGAATGGCTCGTATTACTTAATTCACGAGGACAAAGCAATTGTTCCGTTTGCGGTTATTTATGACCTCGCCTCCCCTATGTACAAATAGCTCTTCCGTCTTCTTTTCCCTATCCTTTTTCTGTTACTCTTCTCTCGATAATACAGAACAAGATGTTATTCACACATTTCTCACCTCTAGCTCTGCTTGTGGCTGCTGCCGCAGCGGACTGGAGTACGCAGCAATGGGACGCTATTGTTGTTGGTGCTGGGCCGGCAGGAATAATTGGTACGTTGAGATCTGGAGAGCCGTGAAAGAAGAGATAAGGTCAGAACTAATGAAACATAGTTGCAAGCCGACTCGCTGCTGCTGGTCATCAGACACTTCTACTTGAAGGTGGCGCTGCGCTTTCATATGGCGTTACAGGCGGTGATCTCAACAGCCGAAGACCAGTAAGTCCATCCTCCAACTTTCACAGAGCTTCATGTTGATGAAAATCCCCAGTCCTGGCTCGCAGGCACAAGCCTCACCCGCGTCGACGTTCCCGGCCTGTACAAGTCCATCTTCTCCGACGGGGGCGGCCTCACCTGTCCAGGAACCCAGGTAGCTGGATATGGAGGCTGTACCATTGGTGGCTCCTCCGCCATCAACGCCGGGCTCTTTTTCGAGCCGCCTGCTAGCGATTACGACCTCTACTTCCCTGCCGGGTGGAAGTCCGCGGACATGGAGAGCGCCACCACGCGTCTCTATGCCACCCAATCGTCGACGAATCTGACTTCTCAAGACGGAACCCGGTACCTGCAGACTGGGTACACAGCTGCTAGAAAGTGGCTGGTTGACGGATTGGGCTTCAAAGATGTGGATATCAATGCGCAGGCGAACGACAAGACGCAGGTGTTTGGATATCCGATCTTCGACTATTCGAATGGGCAGAGAGGAGGCCCCGTAACGAATTATTTGCAGAGCGCATTGAAGCGGACAAACTTCAACTTACAGAGCGGTGCAAGAGTTACCCGCGTGGAGCGAACGGGATCAAAAGTAACTGGCGTAACGGTCTCGGTGGGAGGTGTCGACAAAGTCGTCAACTTGACGCCGAAAGGGAGAGTCATTCTTAGCGGAGGAGCGCTGCAGAGTCCCAGTCTACTAATGTACTCTGGCATCGGAGATCCAGCTGAATTGACGAAGCTTCAGAATGGAAACAAGCTGGCTTCGAACATGGCGCCAGCGCAGTGGATCAACTCGACAGCCGTCGGCTCGGGACTCTTTGACAATCCAAACACATTCATCGAGCTCTCGGGGCCCTCGATCGAGTCATACACATACTCATATGACAACCCTCCTGCTGGCGACAGAGACCTCTACCTCCAGAAGCGGAGCGGACCATACACATTCGCTAGCCAGACAGCCGTATTTTGGGACACCATCAAGCACCCCGACGGCAGCGTGACGGGACTCCAAGGCACGATTGACTCCTCCGGCTACGCCGACTTCAACGACCAAAACACCATCACTCTCAACGTATACGGCACTTCCGGCCTGAAGTCCACTGGCCGGGTCGTCTTAGACGCAAGCCTCGTCCCCGGTCCCGACGGCAGCGTGTACTACTCGAATCCCCGCGACGCCCAGGATATTGCGTCGTGGATCCACAAGCTGTTCCAGAAACTGCCCGACTCAGGCCTCACCCCGCGCAACATCCCCCAGCAAGCCTCCCAGGCGGACATTGAGAAGTACATCACGACCTTCTCGCCGTATGCCCGGGGGCAGGTGAATCACTGGACGAGTAGCTGCCGAATCGGCACGTGTGTGGACAAGAACACCGTCGTGATCGGGACGACGAACTTGCATGTCGTGGACTCCAGCATCGTCGCGCCCCTCACCGTGAACCCGCAGTTCGGCGTCATGGTTGCCGCTGAGAGAGCAAGCGAGCTGATTCTGGCGTTGGATGGGAAGAAGATTGTTTGATGATCGGGAGCCAGGATGAAATAAGCGTTTTGGGATATCCGGGATAGAGCGCGGCGTAGGAGTCTACAGCTTGAGAGTTACTTTAGAACGATTTATGAATGAAGCGACCAAGTCATCTTTGAAGGCTTGGAAATGATACATTTCACTTGCCTCACTATGATTCAGAGAAGTGTACTGTATTCTACATCCACAGGGATATCTCAATCCCCAACCACACAGCCCAGGTAGATCCATCGACTACGATGAAGGTCATCAATATCACGGCTCTTGTATTCGCAGCCATGGCTGTTCTCTGCAACGACACAAGCATTGTCACCACCGTGGCCAATGATAGTATTCAAATGAAAGTAGGTCGTTCTATATCGAATGGGTAACAATTAGCTTGCTTCTTCCTAGTGTCATTTGATGGACAAGAAGAGAAAGTATAAAGACTTGTTGGATGTAAGTAAAATAAGGCGAGTAGGTGTTTTTTTACAAGTATTTATAGAGAGAGAGAAACTCATATAAACTTCTAGAATAGAAGATCATGTTTCGGAGTAGATACCTGCCAAGTCCCGGATAATTACTGTACAATCAATGCCAGAGCCGCTGTCACTTTGAAACAAGGGGGCGATCTCAAATCTCAAGTCCGAAAAGGATACGCAGATTGCAGGCGAAAAAAGAACGCATCTCTGTTAAGTACAAAGGTACAATTAAGCGCAACCTCTCTCTATCGGAATGCGCCCAGCCCAGTTTCGGACAGTTTCAATGCCAGTGATGCAATGTCATGTCTATCTCCCGCCAAACCCAGTCCCCAAGTGCCGTCCCATTTTCCATTACGAACTCCCTGTATGCACAAAGGCTTTATGTACGCTGGGATCTCCTCTATCGTCCCTTGATAGATTACCCAAAGCACAATGATTGTATGTACGTCAATCCAACATCTGGTAACCCATTCTCGCATCCGACAGGTGCCAGGGAGTTATTCCTGATAGGAAAACATGCCCGCAAACCCATCCCCATCCAACATGCTCTGACTAGCCACATAACTGAAGCCCCCAAAAGGATTATCCTTCTCGACCGCACTCCCAACCATCGTCGAGTTCCAAGGCGCCTTTGTGCTCGTCAAGACAGGACTCAGAGCCAGCCCCGTAAACTCGTCCGAGAAGTTCTCCGCAAGTTCCGGGTCGGTAACCAGCGGCTGGATGGGTGGTTCGATCTCCCGGAGCGCAAGCTTCTTCCAGTCGATCTTTCGGAAGAATCGGTGTTTCTTGATTGCCTGCATGTCCTTCGGCATGTTACCCCCGAGTCGCTTGTTAGGTTCCTTGCGCAAGAGACGGGTCAGAAGATCTTTAGAGTCCGGACCGAGGAAATACGGCATGACGACTTTTTGCTTTACGATCTTCTCCTGGATCTTGGCAGTATTTTGGGCTACAAAGGGCGGGCTCCCAGTCAACAAATCGTAGCCCAGAGCACCAAATGACCACCAGTCCACCGCCATCCCGTATTTATGTCCTTGGATGACTTCAGGCGCCATGTATTCCACCGTACCCAGCACGCTATTGCAGCGATCGTTCTCGTCGACAGAGACCTTGGAGAGACCAAAATCAGTCAGCAAGAGGTGGCCTTCGGAGTCTAGGAGGCAGTTTTCGGGCTTCAGGTCGCGGTAGACAACACCGAGGTTGCGGTGGAGGTGTTCGAGAGCGAGGACCATCTCGGCCATGTAGAAGGACGCAGTTGATTCGGGGAACATGCGCTCTTCCGCGAGATATTTGAATAGTTCTCCGCCTTGCGCGTATTCGAGAATGAGGTAGAGTTTTGCGTGATCCTGAAACGCATAAAAAAGCTTGACGACGAAAGGGTGCCGGTTGACGCTTTCGAGGATGGAGCGCTCGGTCTTGGTTTGCTCGATGAGGCGTTTGTGCACGGTGAGAGAGGCTTTCTTGAACTGTTTCTGCGCATAAAGACGGCCGGTGGTTTGCTGCTTGACTAGAAGCACTGTGCCGAATGTTCCCTTTCCCAGACATCGCAGAGGCTCAAAGTCCGTCGCAGTCATCTTGCGCGCTACTGTATCCTGGACCAGCCCTCCTTCAATGGCGCCGTACAAGGGCTTCTCTGCTACGCTCTCACTTACAAAGTCGTGCTCAAGGGGAACTTCGTAGCTGGTGATGTCAGAGTTATCGTCGTCGCTGCATCCATCAGAGGTGCTCGTGCCAGTGCTGCTCTGTGGTTGGCTCCTGAACTGGCTCTTGCTGCGTACAAAAGAACCATTGCGTGAATCAATATCCAAGTTCAATGTCTCCAACTTCAGCTTCATCTGGCTGATCCCTCCCATGGCCGTGGCGGAGGTGGAGCGTAGCATCGGGCTGCTATTCGCGCTGACGACATCCTCCAGAACCTGCCTTCTCTTGGACGGAGTTCGTGCGCCATAATCGGAATCTTCATCTCCTGAACCCATCACTGGAGTATTGAATCCGCGAACGGTGTTCATGGCGGGGGTCGACGACTTCATGGTGCACCGCGACGTCGCTCGGCATCCGCCCGGATCTGGGAGCGGTAGTTTCTGTGTAGTTTCTGCTGGTTCTTCGCGGTTCGCATTACCGTCTGGCTAATGAGGAGAGAGTTGGTGTGGTTAATGTCGTTGTCGCTTTCGATATGCATTTGTCTGTCGTTCGGGTTGTGGGATTATGGTTCTGGTAGAGGGGAACAGGAGAGAAACTGGAAATTGGACTCAGGACTCGGGCCCGTTCGACTAAACCGCCGCTAGCTAGTAAGCGGTATGGCGCTTAAATTCCGCTACTCACAATGTTTATTTTTATTTTTATTGTCATTTTTATTGTTCAGTTTGTTAATAGTCAGTGCGCTCGCTGACTTTTACCTGCGGGCTCTCGGTAACAACTAATACCCCTTTTTTTCCTGACTGCTGTTTTGCAGTACATTTGGAATATGTTGAAACTGATTGGAAGCGGAGATGATCCTATGCTTGAAATATTTTTATTGTCTAAATATAATTCCTTGTTGTCTTTCAGGCGCATATCCCGGTCATTGGGCAGCACCGTATGCATTTACTATCACGTGAGCTGCTCTTAACAGCGTGGATGTTTTTCTCTTCTCTGCTCCGTACGTCAAATGCATCTGCTCGTTTCTGTTCCTAGTTTCGCTGTTTTTTGCCTTCTTGCTTTGATTTGTTTCCTCTTTGCTGCGTTCATTTCTAGTTATATTCCACTCTTTGTCGGTTCACCTGTGGCTTGGACCTGTCTGACCGTATATAGCCAAATTCTGCGATTCGCATACCCATTTTGAAGATCAAATGTGGTATCTCAATTTCATATTGGTTTTGATTAGAGCTGGGCGAGTCAGAGTCTTCCAGTCCGTGAATTATTTACAGCAATACCCTGGTTCTAGCGTGAGATTGAGGTCGAGGCCGAGACTAGCCAAGTTGTTCTGGCGCCAGCCAATACAAGTTTTTCATTCCTAGCTTGTCGTTGAACATGAATTCTTGCGTAAATGCCGTTCAGGTCGAATCCCACTCACCGATGCGCACTTCTATCCTTCCAAAACCTGAAGGAGCAGAAAAGCCTTCATTTGACCCAAGCATTAAACCACCTCACGGCCTGGAAGTAAGCGCTCTCCTGCGCAAACGCCTTCTTCGGATCCGTCAAGTTCGTGCGGACCGCAAACCCGTGTTCGGCGCCGGCGTACAACGAAGTCTGGAATGTCGCATTCTTCGCGCGAAAGATGGCTTCTGCCGCAGCCCGTTGCGCGGGCGTGTTCGACCCGTCAAGTTCTGTCCGATTTCTGGTGTCAGCAGACAGATCCGACCAACTCTGCCGCATATGGAAGAGGAATCAGTACAAGGGCGCGGCGCGACGAACCTCCGAAGGCAATGCTGAGAGGAGCGGCGATACCTTCCCACTCCGTTGCCACGACATTACTGGGGTGGGCTGTGAAGCCCGCATCGAGCCCCCTTCCCTGAGCCAGGAACCGGGCGACGTATTTCCCTCCAAAACTGCTCTCTTGTCAGCTCCTCGCTCTTATAAAAGACAATATAACAGCACTTCGAGCAGCCAATCGTCTCACTAAATAAGTACACAGCTTGATAGATGGGATTCCGGAAAGTCTACCCGAGGTCCGAGGATGATGGATGATGGATAGGGCATAAATACCAGTATCCCACCGCGCCAATCTTCTTCACCCCGAATTGGCTCCTTATGGCTGCGATAGTCGACGTCACAACAGCATCGATCGCCTCGGGCGGGTGGCGCGCACGCCACTCGGTCATGTTAAAGCCCGGCGTGCCCATCTGATCGACCGGCACCGGATCGCCGCCGAACAGGTCCGGCTCCACCACGAGGTAGCCCGCGGCCGCGAGGCGATCCGCCAACAAACGGTTGTTGATCAGTTCCACGCCGAAGATGTCCGTGAGGTACAGGATGGCCACCTCAGCGCTGCTGTTCTGCTGTGATGGTTTCCCCGGCGGGTAAGAGAGGTAAGTATTGACTTTTTTTTTTAACCCTTTGGGTCAGCACTAGCACATATCTTTGGTTTTCCGGGACGGGGTGCACAGAAAGTAGAAGCAGAAGGAAAAGCGAGGTTAAACAGTGAAGGAAGACCTACCCCCGCCAACATCCTCGAACGTCCCCGTCGCATTCGCAGCGCCCGCGACGCCGCCGTTAGTGCATTTTAATCCATATTGGCCGACCTGGCCAGTAAATAGCTCTCCCGCGTGTTCGTGAACGAGCGGCGCGGGATCATATCCTTCGGCTGAAGCGAGAGAAAGGTGGGCGAATAGCGCCAACGATAACAACGACAGTTGGGGACGCATTACCATGCTTCAAGATCAAATAAATAAGTGGGTAGCTAGCTGAGCACCAGTTAGTTAGGGGATGATTATTCGACGTTTTTGAGTGGGAAAGGAACACAGAATATAACAATAGAATAGTAAAATGAATAAATGTTTACTTTCTTTGCTCGTACAAATCAAAATTGACCTTCACAAATGGATGTGATAAATGGGATGTGATAAATGGGATGGATGGGGCCTGGGAGGGGTACCCGCCAGCCAAGCACTCCTCCCCTTAAACGATCGTGATGACGTCTTCCTTCTTTACCGATGGCAAGGGGACAGATGCAGCCAAGTGCTTACCTACCAAGTTGCCTCGATCTTTGTACTCCGTACACCTGTGAACCGAGATGATATCTAATAATTCCAAGCAAGCTAATACAGAAAGCTATTCATCATATCATAGGTACCAATCACATATATAACATACCAAATACATATATGAATAAGTTATATTTGTCTCCCATTGTGTTCCCGGCTGGATACGAAAGAAGAGCAAAAGAAAAAGGTTTATTCCGTTCGTCTGCTTGTTTACCATCAATAGGTAAGGAACGGGCTCTTCGAAGCTTAAGCGAAGAAAGAGGTACGTATGTACCTGCTACCCAACCCAGCTTTATTACGTAGCATTAATGTCTGGATTTCTTTGTAGTGAGAATTGATGTGGGAACGCTGATCAGATTGTGGATGGTGGATTGTAGTTAAATAAGTGGCTGCTTTGGTGTTACGTATTGCTCAAGTGTGCGACGATGATTGCGAGTGAATGAATGACGGGGCGTCGTGCTAATTAATGGTCGATCGATCTTGACTACCTGAGCTTCAAAAAATGGACTGGGAAAATGAAATTATAAGCGATGACGAGAGGATCATGAAGTTGATCGTACCCGTAACCGTTATTACTGCATAGATGACAGATATGATATACCGGCTCCTCGAGCATGGAAAGCTCGTCTTGGGAACTATTGGATTTCAAAACAGTCAGTCACCTTTATAGAGAGATAGAAAGAGAGAGATAGAGAGAGAGATGATATGTGTTTCAGGTGGGCGACGCCATGATTAACGTTGTAAGTGTACCCTTCAATCATTCACTTACTCGCTTTTGATCAAAATGTTAGATTTCTGCCTGAATACGAAATCTTCCAACGTTTTCGGACCTCTCTCGCCCGCTTTCGAACTCTGGTCGTCTTGTATGGGCCCTCCGACATCTGAGGTGAGATAGGAATCAGAATTAGTAACTGTGAATTGATCCATGAAGCTGCTGCTATCTTCCGTACCATCGGCGTGTTGGTTAAGGTTAAAGCCACCACTATCACTACCACCAGCCATGGATGGACATGCTGCAGCTGCGAGGCCAGCGAGTCGCGAAGGGTTGTTATCTTTAGGGTCTTCATAGCGACAGGATCAAGAAGAGTATTTGTTGAGTTTGGAGAATTTGGTGCGGTCTTCACGTCGGGAAACGGCGAGGGAAAACCTCTTTTTACAAACATCATTATTGCCGCTGGACTTCGAAGTTGACATCCTGGATCAATCCTTTTCACCTCGAAAACTTGCTTATACTTACCCTTACCATAATATATATATAGGTATATAGGTATATGTAGACGCGTGGATGTTCTCTTTCCTGGGCATCATCCCGATCATGCCACTCTGACCAGATGCTGCGATCTGATATCACTTACATCTTTTCGATATCTAGACGGCCAATTGCCTTGGGCACGGAGGTGATCTCTGCCACTTCTTGTAGAGACTTTGGTGGGAAGTAGAAGACGGAGATGGAAATACTTCGTAGAAGAGTTACTGACTATTACCAGAGTGATGTGTTTCTTTATCCTGCAGGAAGGTCGTGTTCGCCTTGATCGGCACTACAGTCTACAACTGCATATATTGAGCTTAGTTATGTAGCGGACAAGCCACCTGTTGCAACACCAGGCCTGCGTCGCCTGTTGGTTTTATAAGGTGAAGAGGACGAGGTTGACGGATGATTAGGAAGATATGCAAAGTGATCGACGCGATTTATCAGAGTTTCGCTTAGAAGATCCGGGGTTGGGGTCGGATCTCGATAGTAGTGTAAGATTGATGGGGTAGGTACCTATTTTGCCATGGGATGCAGACACAGAGGGGGTTTGAGGCTGCAGCTGCCATGGCTTCATCAAGTGTGCTTCAATCTGGGAATAAATTCGTTGAGCCGGCCTTCCCACATCCATTCATTCCTGGGAAAAACACCTTTAAAGTTATGAGGCTCTACTTTACGTAGTACCTACGCGAGTAGATCGGTACCCGGATTAATAGAAGCACCGAAGCACAGACCTAACAGCTTATTTTATTATCAGCCCGTTGATGACGATGGGGACGGCGAAACCTCAACAACAATATCTGCGGCAACAACAATCACGGCAGTAAGAGCGACGGCGAAGGTGAGGAAAAGGGGCAAGGCGACAAGAAGCACGGCGACAATAAGCACGGCGGCAGGAAGTAAGGCGGGGACGAGGGCGAGGGCGAGGTTGAAGACGAGGCTGAGGACAAGAAGCATAGCGTCCAGAAGCACGACGACAAAACCGAACGAAAGCGGCATCTGCCCTGGCGGGATAACCCCGTTTGAACGAAAGCTACAGCTTGTGCTGCTGTGTAAACAAACAGGATTTGGCGCCAAAACTGCAATCGCCCGTACGATTTACGCCAAACTAAGCCGCTCAAGGAGGGGTTCACAGGGATATCAAAGAGAAATCAAGAGATAAGGTCCAGGTTCCAGCGAACCGGAGACGAGCAATTCAAAGTCATCAACAGAGAAGAGTCTAGGTTCTAGCAAGGAGTTTTCGGTGAGAAAATACACGAACTCTTTTCCAGCAGATCCGGGTTCAGCAGATCCTTGTCTAGCTCGGCCTCCAATATCCAATCTCCATTCACCCCAAGAAGAAGAGAAGGAGCTAATTGAACTGCCACTTAAGGTCGATTCCATATGCCAGATAAGGAAGAGGCCTCACCCGCAAACTCTGCAGCTACTGTAAGTGTTCAACAAGCCTCGCCCCCCGCTCTTCGCCTTCCCTGACTCCTCGCTTCTTCCAGTTCATGTCACATGGTCTCACAGCCGCTGATAGTTTTCCTCGAAACTCGAATGTAGTCGATCCTTCTTTGCATTCTGCGCCCTGAAACAAACCACCTCCTCCCGCGTTCTTGTTTCTCCACGCCAAAGAGCGCTATCAAAAACGGCCCTTTTGTACCTAGATAAAACATATGCACGATGGTAAGTGAAGATGCTCGCAAGCCGTGGAAAGAAGCTGGCTAACATGATTTCAGTCCGCCTTCACGGCCCTCAATATCATTCCAGATGACCACCCGGATGATGAAATTGACAACACGAAAGAATTACAGGTTGTGTTTCCACAGGCTCACCCGTATCCATTTCCTTCTAACAAGTGACAGATTGAGGAGGCTCTCAAACTCTACCAAACCGCCCTCAAATTACACGCTCAAGGCCCAGAGCACTATTCCGAAGCTGCTCACGCCTACCAAAATCTCTTTAAATCCGAGATCTTCGCCTATCCCGAGGCCGAAACCGAATTTGTGCGATTCGATAAGCCTTTCGTGGCCGAATTCACGGAAGCCTCATACAACCTTGCGCTTGATATTGCTGCCGCAGAGGCAGAGGCAGCCCCGAGCACTCTTTCGCAAATCCTCTACCTCTCCTACAAAAATCATGGCCAGTTCATTCTGGACTGTGTCAAGAGTCGCATGCGCCACGAACCTTTACCCCAGAATGCTCTTGATTACCAGGCCAAGGCTGCAATAGACAACTTCGCTCTCGCCCTAGCTAGCGATGAGTCCGACACGGAGTTATGGAGACGCGCTGCAAGGCTAGGTTCCATGCTTGGAAGCAGACGCATTGCGAGATACTGTCTCGAAGCTGCTGTTGAGGTCGACGATGATCCTACAGTGGCAGAAGTGGACCCTATGTCACTTGAAGAAGGATTTGCCGGCGAGCAGCTCAAGCAGCAGTTGGAAATCCTCGGAGACGAAATCTCGCTTTCACATCCAGTCATGGCTCCTTACCGCAAAAAGACCATGCCTCGCTTCTTAGCGAAAACTATGGACCCATATCCGTTCCTCCGCGATGCCGCAAGCTCTTTACAGGTGATGAAAGCTAGACCCGAGGGTCAAGCTATTGATAATATCTCCCCTCCATATATCATCAATCTCGAGTACCGCAGCTGGCAGGGCCTCGGCGAGAGACTAGTAGATATCTGGAATTCGCAAACCGGCATGTCTGGAACTCGAATAACATTGAATCTGCCCCCTGAGCCCATCCAGAACGGTGAACCCGAAATTGTCCAGCCAACTGAACCGGTGGTTGAAGTTGTACCGGACGAAGATCTAATCATGACTGACATGGGTAACATGGAATCACCAGCTTCCGAGACCAACGAGGCCGCTGTCTTGACACCAATCACTTCCAAATCTGGGGAAGCCCGAGTAGAGGCCGCCATCGCTAATCCATCATCAGCCCTCGAGGAGAGACGCCCGTCAATTATTGCTTTACCTAATAGAAAACGTTCTCACTCAACTGCCGGCATTCGTGAGACCCCAGAAGACGACAATAACACCCAAAAGAGAAGTAAGCGGATCAGGAACCGCGACACCGGAGATGGTCCCGTGGTCGACCCTGCTGCCTCATTTGCAGAGCAAATGAAGCCGTACACAGCGGCAGACGAAGGAGTCTTCGAGCTCGTTGGGGAATTGCTCGCAACGCTCGGTGTCAATGATCTGAAGACTCTACCTGATCTCCACAAGGCTCTTCTACCCGAGACTGGAAATGATCGCGAAGAGATTGTACAAAATACAGCTTTGCGCGATCTCCGGGACATTCTTCGGACCTGGGATGATTCCAAGGCATCTACTTTCATCAACGGCAATGCGGCAGATATTCTTGGCTCTTCAGTGAGTACAGCCAATGCTGGACTGGCAGCTTTCTTGGACCAATCCAAAGTCGGGCCTCAGAGAGCGGTCAACATTCCTGCGTTCGCCGACGAGCATGGTCTTTCCGAATTGGCCGCGAAGATTGAAGATGATTGGATGCCACTCCACGACGTTATCTGGGAATGGCTTTGCGCTGTTGTGCCAACCTATCGTTCATATCTGTGGTCTGAAGTGATGAAGGTAACGGTTGTCAAAATCATCACTTTTGCTGATTCGGAGATATTCCCTCGCTTGCAAATGGAGATGAGGTATGCCGCCTCTGACCCAGAAAGGCTTGCCAGATTGGAAGAGTGCGCGCAGACTCTGTTTGAGCTGCACATCGACGTCTACTCAAGAATCACCAATCCCACCAGCGCCGTCCCTCATGAGACTCGTCTCCTCACCAAAACTCGCCTCGATAGATGGGCCGACCTTGCAGCTGATGTCATTCGGACAAGAAAGGGCAAACAGGAAGATGAGCTTGCAACTAGATACCTCTGGGCATCGGTGTTCTACGCTACCATGGCGGAAGGCGTATCTCGCGAACACAAGGTCCTCTGTTGGACTGATCTTCAAGCTCTGCTCCGGGATTCCAACCAAGCCACAATTGATCTCCCGAACAATGCTGTCATGCCAGACATATCCGTCGAAGCAGCAGAGCGGGAAGTGTCTCGACTCACCACCATGGATTTCTTCTTCAACCTCTTCCAAGCTGACCGATCGGATCCGATAGCCATCATCGAGACGCTGGAACCTGTGCTTGACCCTGAATCTTCGAAAGACGCCCTTGACCCGGTTATTGAAGACAGGGCCGCGGATGCAGTCGATGGAACCCCGGCCGCGCTTCGGGACATGTGGAAGTTCTTGAAGAGTGGCAGTACCTCGCTACGCCTGTTTTTATGGCAGAGACTTCGCGAAGCTTATCTCAGCATTGGCTACAGCACCAAAGTCTTTTCGTGTCATCTGAAGAGCATCGAGATCATAGTTGAAGATCTGCGCACCGCCGATTACGTCGATAAGGCAGACGAGCCCCGACGACATCTGCTTCTACAATGGCTGAAGGCATTGGATGATCTCTTGGTCAAAGCACTGACTATTTCTCTTAATGAAGCTGCAACGTGCTTTGAGATTATTGATGAACGTCACATCCGATCTACATGTGCTGCTCTCGCGCAATTGAGTAGAGTTCTCCATACTGCAGCTCTCTTTGACGATGAGATTAGAGTTGGCATGACCCAGCTCCCACCCAGTTCAGCTTATGCGCCGCAGGGATCATTCAGTAGCTTTATCAACAAGCTACGAGAAATGCAAGTAAGAACGTGGGCTCTCCAGTACACCATGATCAAGGAGGCCATGGCCCAGCACGTCGAGGTTTTCACCACGCCGGAGAAGGATCTTGCAGACTATCTGGCACGTGTGCATTACTCTTTGGGGATGCGTAAATGCTGCAAGGCATCTAATAAGATCTTCCTGAAGATGATGAAGCAGGAAATGATCCGCCTAGAGGATGTTGGGAATTGGGAAGACTACCTGGGACAGGTTCTTTACGACCTCTATGGACTCCGCCTCGGCGTCGGCACTTATATGCTAGAGGAGCACGGATGCCCCTCAGAAGAGATCGATAAGCGTACCGTCTTCACCATTGTGGACAAAGTCATATTGCTCGCCAACAGAATCCCGATGAAAGACTTGCTGAAGCATGAGCTTCGAGCCACTCTCGCTAAGATGCATGAAGTTGTAGGCGCCGTGAAGCCGTCTCCTCAGATGCAGCACAATCTTCGCAACTACACGGAATACCTGAAAGGCTCTATCCGCCCATCCGACCTTTACAAGGCATGGAGAGGCCAAGTAATGGTCGATTCGCTACCAGTCATCACTCCCGAAAGCCCCTTCGCAGATAAGAACTGGTATTTCTTGATGGGTATGATCGAATTGACCAAGTTCCGCTCGCAAAAGCGTCTTGGCCCAGGAACGCAGACCGATGATCTACGAGTTGCTGCGGCTTTGTTGAGACAGCAGCTTCAGTTCTGCGGAGACTTCTGGGAAACCTGGTATCGCCTGGCGCAGTGTTTCGACCTTGAGCTAGAAGAGGAGGTGCTGTGGAGCGCCGACAAGATCAACAACCATCGCGAAATCCTGGTCCAGTTACAACGCAGCTCCATCCATTGCTACGTCATGGCACTGTCGACTGCCCACCGTACTGCCGATGACAGCTTTGAAACTGCCGAGAAGCTTTCCGAGATGTATTACGACTTCGGCATGCGAATATACTCTGCTTCGAGAGAACCGTTTTCAATGGAGCCCTTTTGGGTCGACGAATTCGAGAAGCATATGAGTGGTGCTGATGGCATGTACAAGAAGCCTTTGCATCAGGAGTTGACCCGATATAGAGCGTGGAATTATGCGTCGGTGCTTTTCAAAGAATCGCTTCGGGATCGACCTAAACAGTGGATGTAAGTGATCCCTCTTCGTACCCTGTTGGAGCTACACTAACCAGCATAGGACACACTTGATGATCGGAAAATGTCTGTGGAAGATGTTTTGCCGGGCTGGTGAGGACATAGACCCACGTATCCAGGCCACCCGGCCACGCGTGGAGTCTGTCATCAATCATTTTGTCAGCGCTATCAAGACAGCCCCAAAACACAACGCCAGCAGTCGTTCCGAGCCTTTGCTCGAGCCACATTACAAACTGGTCTCTATCGTCCACAAGCTTGTTTTGATGCGAGTCATGCCGGCTCAAGCCGCCGCAGATCTATTGCAGCAGCAGCCATTTGCCCCGGACAAAGGCCGGGCAGTGGTTGTTGATAGTACCGAAGAATGGGAGTCATACATCCTCAGGAATCTCCGCCATCTTAGAGCTGCCGACAAGCAGCATTGGAACCATCGCATGGTTGCGAGGGTAGCGAATATCTTGTTCGACGATGAGAACCCCAGCTTTGAAAGTGCTGCCGCCGCACGCAATGAGCTACGCGAGTCGGTTTTCACAAAGACAATGCACATCCAAGTGTGGAAGTCGGAAGCTGAGCGCGCTGGTCGGCACTGCGTCTACATGGAGCGATATGTGCACCTCATGATGAAACTTCTCTTTCTTACCAACGACAAGGCGAGCATGGAGGCACTGGTCAAGCGAGTCCGCAAGAAGAATAACGACTTCCACAAGTTTGAGAGGGTTTGGAACGAGTGCTGTACCACTTACCTGCACCTCATTCGACGCTCAGGAAACATCCCTCTGAGCATGGACGATGTCTTCAAGGGCTGTACCCATGAGGAGTACGAACTTGTGGCGAGCCGCGTCGACGAGTGGGTCAAGGATCCGCTGATGAAAAATCCTGCCCTCGACGCTCTGAGAGAGGCCGGTGACCTCAAAAAGCTCAACAATAATCTTATGAAGTCCACTCCTATCGACGACCTCGTCATCGATGCCTACGCTACAGTCTACATCCAAATTTCGAAGTCGATGTCTGACTCCGACCTCGGCTCTTTAGGCAACTCCCAATCTGATGGCGCTACTGGTGAATCCTCCACCGCGATGCGTCCCACGGGTCCTATGCACCTCAACAACTTCTTGACGGACACGAAGGGTACTCAAACTCCCGCCCCGGCCACCGTCCCAGCCACCGTCGCGGGCTCTGAGCCTGCTCGTCCGCGCAAGCTAGGCATCAATAGGAGAGAGATCCTGCGTAGGTCCGATCAAGCTCATAGCCGTATCCCGGATGTTTCGCGCACTCCAGTCGTGCCATCGAATGCTAGACCAAAACTGGCGGAGCCGGCACCTAGCTTGATCTTGGGATCGAACGATGGGGAGCGGGCAAAGACGAGGAGGAGTGCTAGCGCGGCCAACTCAACGCCAAGAGTTCTGACGCCTGTTGTCGCTGAGGGTCGTCGGAACGAAACTTCGGCGCAGCGTGAGGAACGTGAGGAGGCTGCTGAGCAGCATCAACGAAACGAGCAAGATGCACATGGTGCTGCCCTTGCAGAAGATGAAGAAGATAAGGAGAGCGTGCGGGGTAGTGTGCATGATAGTGCTGATGACGAGAGTGACCTGAGTGATCTTCCAGACATGGATGATGTTGACCCAGCCACTATCTTCCCTGGTCTAATGGGCTCGGGCGGTGGCGGTAACGACTCTGACGAAGAAGAAGAAGACGACGACGATGACGATGACGATGATGACGATGGGGATCAAGCTGAAGAGGCCGAAGAAGAAGAAGAAGAAGAGATTGGGGATGGCGAGGGTCTAGCGGAAGACGAGGAGACGTTGTAAAATTTTGTACAATCTGGTCAGTGGGCATTTGCTCAGGGTTGGACATCCATAGCGATGGAGTTCTATTTTTTGGTGGGCATGATGATACCTCGTAAAATTCGCGAACAATGAGACAGGAGTGACTGGAGTTTTCTCATTTTTTTGAGAGAGACAAATGAAGGAAAATGGGTCTGACGATACTGTATAGTAGTTCGAGAAAGCTGCAAAGGTAGATGGCACCCTGCGTTACCTTTGATAATAGTATTAATGATTGAAGAGCGGTACCTCTTACAGGAACCGGAAAGGGAAATTTTCCATACTTTGATGACTAATTCGCTTGATTGCTTGCTTGATTGCGTGCGTGCTTGCTCTTGGTAAGTTTGACTGATGTTGATAACCGCAGCATCATGTATTAGTTGCTTGCGTATTTTTGTCGTGTAGCGATATCGTGACGTCTGTTTATCTGTTCTTTTTTTTGTTTTTTTTTTTTTTTTGGCACGACGGCGTTGATAAACTATAATAGATATGCGACTCTAAAATCAAAAGAGGAGAGAAGATGGAGTTTATTTGCTATTTAGTAAAAGAAAAAAAGTTAGAAAAGGATAAATCATAAGCGAAATCGAAAGAAAGCGGTTCTTATTTAAGCCCGGTTCGCGATTTTACAATTTATATGTGTGTACTCTTTTATAACTTCTTGATCTTAGATTTAAATATAAATAATAAAAGATGTAAGAAGAGATTTAAGTAAAGCAAGTAGGAATATGCAGATGAGCATTATTTAAGGGCACTCGTAAAGAGTAGTAAATATATATATATATATATGAAAAGTAATATTTTCTTGTATTCTTTTTAAAGTACGACGGTGTTAATAATCTTCTATAAGATGCGAATCTTTGATTAGAAAGAAAAAAAGGTAAAACATATTTATTATTTATTAAAGAAAAGAAAGTAAAAAAGGAAAAATCATAAGCGAGATCGAAAGAAAGCGGTTCTTATCTAGGCCCGGTTCGCATTGCTGCACTTTGTATATACTCTTTTACAATCTCTTGATCCTAGATCTAGATCTAGATCTAGATATAGATAGATATCAAGAGATATAGAGAGAGATCTATGTAGAGTAAATAAAAGCATGCAGATGAGCACTATACTACTCAACCGCACCCGTGAAGAATGCATGCTCTCTCTCTCTCCTTGGAGAACCTAGACTGCCTGCACCGCGAGAGCCGTTCAGACACGAAGAAGAATCCGGATGGGATACGAAACTGCACAAACAAACAAACAAACAAACATAGCTTGGCTTGACTTGGCTTGGCACCTCCTGAATGAAGCACATACGGAACCGGTACATAGAAGTCAGCCAGTCCCTTCTCCCCCCGACTTCCTAACCTGCCTGCCTGCCTGCCTGCCTGCCACACACACAGACAGACAGAAAGCTGGTCTCGCGTGCGAGAATAGAACATCCTATGACAGAATATGCTATGCCATGCTAGCAAGCAAGCAAGCACCACCCCCCCAAGCCCTAAAACACCCACGACATGAAGCTAGAAGCAGCAGTACCCCTTCACCCTTTCTTTAGCAGCTAGTCGAGATATAATAAAAAAAGAAAAGACTAGAGCGAGAAGCGTGAAGTGAAAAGCGTGAAGTGAGACGTACCTCTCCTCCACACAACAGAACACAACAGAACACAACAGAAAGAATACTACGCTTTATGCTGCTAATTAAGGCACGATTCGACGATCATCAGTAGCTAATTTGTTTGCGAGGAGGGAAAAAAAGGGGAGGGGAGGGAGAGGGGGGGGGGTGGTGGGAATAAGTGTAAGCATAAGTAAGCAGTATAAGAATAAGTATAAGTATAAGTATAAGTAGTAAATATAAGTATTCAAAACTAGATCAGCATCGAGCTTCAAGACACGGTATTGAGGACCATACTTACCTACTTACCTACTTACCTATTACCTGGTCTTGCTCTGCGGGCGGGGACGGCACTGAAGATTGCTTGCTTGCTTGCTTGCTTGCGAAGCCCCTTCCCTACCTTCCCTCCCTCTCTTCCCTCCCCTTCCCCCCTTTCCTCCCTTCCCCCTTTCAGCTCACACACACACACACACACACGCACACACGCACACACACACGCACACATACTCTCCCAAGCCTCATCTCCACCCCTCGCAAACCCACCTCACACCTACTGCAAACCCCCCGCCCCGCCACGCCACGCCACGCCTCGCCTCGCCTCGCCAATCGATAATCTTGGAGCAGTTTCTCCTTCTCCTTCTCTTTCTCTCTCTCTTTCTC